GGGCAGCCTCAATGTATCCCCTGTTGTCATAGTCACTGGTCTTAATATAGTGGATACCACATAAACACTTAAGAGAGGTTCTTAAGTGCAACATTTGCACTGTTGCCTTCTAGAAATAGCACATGAAATAATATTTATTCATTTAAAATTCTCTGTGAGATATCAACAAAGATGTTTCTTGGCTTTTATAAACAACAACCAAACAAACACTAAAGGTTTCTTTCTCTTTAATGGAATTGTTCCACATCCCCTATCTTTAGTCAAAGAATGCAGGACAGCCCATAATACATATTCACTGGAGTATGACTCCCTGTGTATTCATTTGTTTGGTAGGTAAATAAGAAAGGGCGTTTTTCCAAGGAAGGAAAGATTAAGTCTCCAAGCCCAGGGTAACTGCTGCTCTGAATCTTTGAATTCCCTTTTTGGAATTCATTATAGGATTTGGGAATTTTTGTCTTTTCTTCTGTCAAGGACGACAGTATATGAATTAACGAGAACCAAGCCATTGAGGCCATGAGGGAATATTTTTTTCAATTAGGGCAAGAATCCTTCTCAGTGGAAATGGATATGTGAAAGTAATTTGTAACGTCTGTTGGATGTGGAGTTGTCTTCCAAGTGAAGTAGTGAAGGTCTTGGAGATGTGAACTTCTGTTCTGCTCTTATGGTGCTCTGTTACAAATGCTCAAGAGCTGTTTAAAATCACACACGCACCTGCTTGTAGGCTTGGAGCAAAAAAAAAACCTCTTAGCAGAGCAAGGCTCCTGTTCTTTTCATCCTGTACAATAATCCTCACCTTAGGGTGTAACTTCTTCTCCCTGCAGTCCCTATCCTCTTCCCTGTATGTGAACATAAGTAATGAAGCCAGTGGTTTGTATATATCTGTGAACTTGTTTCTCTGCAGCTGGCTGAACCCTAAATAACAGAGTGGGTTCATGTGTGCCAACCTTTTACAAACACTCACTTGAGGACATGTAGCCAGGGTTTGCAAAGTGATACTTCAGAAAGGTAACAGAAGACACAGTAGATCTTTTTAAAGTACTTTTAGGCTCTTTCCTGAAGCAATCAATGACCAAGTATAAGCACCAAAACACCGCATGAGGAGTGTTGTCACATGAATGTTATGACCTTGAAAATTGCATATGGTATTTTTTCTCATCCTCACAAGTCCGACATGTACAAAGGGTGACTTGATGACTGTCTACTTAAGAACAGCTGTAGTTGAAATTATTGGGAAATGTCAAAATGCAGTATGACAGCATACACTCCGCTATATTTGGGTTCTTTCGTATTATACAAAGATAGGAGAAGCTGTTGTTTTTGTGTGTCTTTTCTTATTCTGAAGAGATAGGAAATATCCGATACTTCTTCAGTGAAAACAGTCTGCTGAAAGATTCACTTGTACTGACTAGTGTGTCAGTGACTTTACAACACAAGGTAACAACCAAAGATGGCAAGTGATGAACATGAGAACCTTGAACGTCAAAGAAAAGTAATAACTATATAGACTGCAAATTCTGTAGATTTTCTGATGAAAAAGTAAATATTCCTCCCCTTCTGATTGATGGTTTTGGGTTTTTTAATTACCACAGACTATTTATTTCCACCTGAATCATACTGTAGATCTGTACATCCGTTTGAACAAAGGAACAAATAAAAGGAAGCAGATCAATGACTTGGCTGACCCTGTGAAGGACACCTCAGCATTTGGAAATTTCTCTGTGTCAGCTTTTGGCAAGAACACGTGTAGTACATGAAACAAGCCAAATTATATCAGTCTTATTCTGCAAGATCAAGTTACTTTTGCATTTTAAGTGCTGAGGTGTCCCACAGTCTCTCACCTCCATGGTACACAAAGGTATGGTGCCTTTTCTTTTGTTCTGGTCAAGTGCAAATATTTGCACACGGGAAAATGTTTTAGCTCTGCAGACCCATAGATCAGCCATCTGTCTGGAAAAGGCAACGCCTTTCTGCACTGAGACGGATACATAGGGGAGGATCCTGTTCTGTCAGTTCTCAGATTCCTGTGCCTCACCTCACTGACGTTAAGTCCACGTTTGTTTGACTACTCTTGGTCTGATTACAACAGATAAGTTCAGACAGTAAAATAGAAACGGATATGTGAACAAGTGGCAATAAAGTTTGTTTCCCAGAATGTGTCGTGTTCATAGTAAAGGCAGAACTCAGAGAAGTCTTTTTGTGTAAAACATGTACATCCACAGGTGATGCTGTATTACCCTCATGTTATTATTAACATCCAACATATAGTATACAGGATATGAATTCTGTAAAAGCACACAGCCTACACAGGTAGGTTTTCTCAGCTATTGGTCCTTATACTGTGACTGAATTTATTCAGTGTAAAACAACTTCTGCTCTCACATCCACATTTTCCGTCTTGTTTTCTCCTCCTTCAGCTCTAACACAAACAATGGAGGTTAAACAAACCCAGTTGGTTTAGTTCCAGATAACCAAGGAACAAAAGGAACAGTTTCCAACTCTCTTAAGAAAACGAGAAGTAAAGAATATGAATAAAACTCTGCCCACTAATATTGTGAATAAATCTGTGTGGCATGCAAGCAGACAGAAAGGGAAGAAAAGAGAGACTAGTGTATCATGCCATTTGTTATGCTGTTTATTTCAGAGGAAAAAAGGGGAAAGAATTGCACAGGTTATTGCACAGGTTACAGTCTTATTATCTTCTCCTGGAGCAATGGGACTTTAATCTGAGATCTGAGTGTCTGTTCCATCAGGAGAAATATTACCTGGCAAAACAGTCTTCAAAGAGGAGGAGACAGAAATACAGTCACAGCTCTAAAATTAAGGATGATTGTTGAATGAAGCTGTGAATAAAAAGTACGTGTGCAACATACAGGGTGTTTTTTTACCTGAATATCTAGCTCCACCAAAAGGACTGGATCTACATCTTTAAGAATCACAAAAATTTAGTCTCATTTTGGAAGGCTGAGAACAGATTTCAGCCAGCTACCTACAGGGATTTTAGAAAGGAAAGAAGAGAGTGAAATCCCCTTTAGCCACTCACCAAAGAGATTTCATCTGACACAGTGCTCCTTATGTGCCTGTGATATCTCTGGAAAGTGGCTGCTCTCTGCTTGAATGAGTGGTTTGTTAAAACTGTTACAAACTTCTATTTCAGTAGAAAATATTGTTCTAGATTATAGGTGTAATCAGTATCAATAATACCTTTGGAAATTCATCCAGATTTTCTTCAAATGTTAAAATAACATGCATTGCAGTGTAGATCTAAAGACTAACTTTTGTTCAACAATGAAGTAGGTAATCAATGTATTATTCTGAAAATTTGGTTATTTATTTTATTTAATTCACACAGTTTATTTCCTGTCTGCTGACTCAATATTAAATGTCAAAAATTAGCAAAACAACAGTAGCCTTTTAGGCCCAGGCCTTTCATTGCTTGTTTCTTCCACAATCCAAATAAGTGGTAATTCTACAATTTATTTTCTCTTGCAGCGCTGAGGTAAGACAGACTATGGAGTTTAGCTTTCTTGAGCCCAAGTGAGTTCTGGACTGTGGTTCTGTATCACAAATCTTTTGGGATTCCAGACATCTCTTTGCTTATGAGTGAATCCACTAAAGGAATAAAGAATTTTAAATTAGATTTGAAGGGGATAAAACCATGTTCGCTAGAGATAAGCCTGGTAGTGGCACACAAATACTTGAGGGACGGTGTGCTAGCGAGGTCCTTTGGTCTCAGTGGAGATAGGGGATGGAGATCCATACAGCAGCAAAGACACAAGGGTTATTGATGTCTTAGAAAACATGGAAGTGCCTGAGAATGGTCATGTAGGGATCAGGGCTTCTCCCCTAAAAATGTGGCAGGATCAGTAGCCCAACTGAGGTGTGTCTACACAACACATGCAGCATGGGCAACAAATAGAAAGAGCTGGAAGACTGTGAAGCTGGAAACTATGGTGTAGGTTGCCACCATGGAAACATGGTGGGATGACTTGCACAACTGGAGTGCTGCAATGCATGGCTAGAAGCTCTTCAAAAGGGACAGGCAAGGAAGGAGAGGTGGTGGGGCAGCCCTATTTTTTGGGGAGTTTTTTGATTGTCTAGAGCTTGATGATGTTGATGATAGGGTTGAGTATTTATTGGTGAGAATTGAGAGGAAGGCCAGCAGGGCAGATGTGTGTCCAGAGAAGGGCAACGAAACTGGTGAAGGATCTGGAGCACGAGTGTCATGAGGAGCAGCTGGGGGTACTGGGTTGTTTAGCCTGGAGAAAAGGAGGCTGAGTGGCTGTCATGGCTATCCTGTGTCATTTCTGGCAGCTAGATCACATCCCTTTCTCCTGAACATCACTGGCATGCCTGCAAGAGCAATGCCTACAGACTAGGAAATGTTGCCAAATCTGGAATAGATAAAGACAAAAATGAGTAGAGCTAAACACAAATCAGAGGAATGTGATTTCCAGTTTAATTTTACTTCTAGCATTTTCCCTATATGTTAAAAAAAATCATTTAACTGATTATTAAGATAGTGTTATTATTAATGACTAATACAATAATTTTTTCCTCTTCATGTACAGGTAATTTATCACCACTCCGTTGGAATATACACTTATATCCAAATTTTAAGTAATTCTGAAGACATAGATAGGTACAATATAACTAATTCATGACAAATAACTCCTAGGTATTATAAATTAGCAAGGCTGTGCTGCAGAAGTCCTTCCTTCATCTTTTATGTGTGTATTCAGGCAGCAGCATAGGAGACAGCAGGTAGCACAAATGACGCTGGTGTTTTGCATGTCACACAACATACACGGTCCTGCTGCAGGTGAATTGATGACTATTTTGCTCTAACAAAAAATTACATTGCTGGGATAATAAGCTACTTCAGCTTTTTACTCAAACAGGTGTCCACCCTTGCATACAGTGATCCTAGGGAAATTTTCCAAAGGCCTTGTATTTACAGATTCTCTCAATAAGCTGCCACCTTCATGGTGGAATGCTACAGAAAGAGGGAACGACCTGTGATGAGTTTCCCATGACTCAAGTGCACTGTTTAAATGAAAAGAGCTAGGAAAAGCCTCCTCATTTTTCCTATATGAGACTTTACAAGCATCACTTATCCTCACTTAAGAGTGGGGTTGTGGGACTGTTTCCTTCCATCTCTCTTGCTTCACTGTATCTTTATCATAGCAAAACCTGTAGTTGCTCTTTGATGGTTATCACCTCACTGAGACCACATGCTCAGTCTGTAATGTCTGTCCTGTTTTCAGCTATCAGAACAATAGTTAAAGGATTACACAGGGGAAAGCTAAGCCCAGATCACTGTTTTTTTTCTCTATAAGCTATTCCAAAATGTATCAGAAGAGCTTTCTTGTATGATTTGACACCAAAGTTTATTTTCTTTTAACAAGAAATAAGTGTATAAAGCAGAGGTAAACTAACAACTAACAAGCTTCTTGCAATAAAAATTAAAATGGAGAGCCAACATGCAGCTATTCACTTATGTAATAAATTGCAAATAGAGATCCAAAAGATTGTTTATAATTCCTGGTCAGAAGTCATAGCTGACTTAATAGGGTCAGAGTTGGATTGATAAAATACAGCTCAAAGTTGCCGCACCTTAAACCATCACTTTCAGTTATTCAGATAACTAATTTCAAAGTGTTTAATATATTTATCTTCTTGTTTTGCAAATGGATGTGATAGTCTTTCTGTATTTGTTCTCCAAATTGTTCTTAAGAAATCTGATATACCAAACTGCTTGGTAAGAGTTCAAAATTCTAGTAGAGACAGAGGTGCAGCTTCACCTCGTAGAGGTTATGGTAATTTCACTGTTGCTGGTTACAATTCAGTCTGAATGAGGTGTAGTGCTTTCTTCATGTTCTCTATTACTGAAAGAAAAATAAATAAGAACTGTAAAAATATATTAAAAGTGCATTTGTACAATTAAAAAAACCCCTTCCTACTTTGATTTAGTAAATTGTTCACATTGAAATTAATTCATGGTCACACATTATATTTTAGAGCTTTCTATTGTGAAAATTCTGGCATTGTTCCTAAAGCAGAAGGTAAAAAGTTTAATGAATTAGAATGTTTAACTTAAAGGGATTTGACAAGGCCCCTTTCAACTCCCTCATTTCTCAACAGCAAGCCTGGTAATCAGATGTGATGTGCATATTTGTGGTGAGATATTGCACTGGTGTCAGATAGATGATATAGAGCGAGGACTGGCTGAACCTGAAAAATCACATTCCTTTCTGAAATATGTGTGTTAGGTGATACCGAGGTAAGCACCAGCATTTCTTTACTGATTCCCTCCCACCATTGGCTATTTATATTGTGCAGTTGGATACTTTTGAATGTCCAAGTATGACTTAGTTATACTTGTCCAAGTTATACATAAGTATAACTTTCGCTGTTCTTCAGCAAACTGCTCAGATCTCGATCCTGAAAGTTCTCACCCACGATCTTTCAATTTTTCTTGCCTGAGTAGCCCCAGTAAATTCAATGGGACAATAGGTGTGATTGTTTTGCTTGAACAGGTTAGACCATTATAATTTATTGCAAATGCTCACCCACAGTATTTATTCTTTACTTTGAGATCCTAATGGATTCTCACGCACACATGATTGGGATGGGGTATCTGGCTGCTTACAGTGTGAAATGCAAACTCAACAAAGGGGGCACTTACAGAATGGTATGTCTTGTGGTTCATACGTGTAAAGCCGGTTGGAGTATCTTCCTGTGATATCAGCTCGTACTGTGAGAGATGGGTCTGAAAAAGTAATTGTATTAACCACTGCCTTCCATTCCCACAACAGCTGTGGGTGACTGTGTGGCACTGCTGTGTCAGCTCTGTTTCTGATTTCATCAACGAGGCAACTACGAGGCCGTTACGCTCTGTTCCAGCCAACTGCTCTTTACTTGGAGAAATCCTGAACAAAAGCTTATGCTCATTTTTATATTATGCAGCTATTTTTAAGTCCTAGGTAACACATGCATTTCATCCATATTTAAAGGAAAATATCCTGTTTTACAAGTTCTGGGTTTACATCAGCAGAAGCTAATTTGGCTGGATGCACACACAGTGAGGGTCATGCATCCCTACAGCAATATTAGCATGACTTACCTAGAGACTTCAGAACCAAAATCTCATGATTCTTAATGTTCCCAGCATGGGAACAGGTTATTGTGGACATATCTTCTTCCAGTTTCCCTTCCAAGATTTTTGGTAATTAACTGACTCCTGTAACTGCACTGCTCTCTGTCTGAGTGTGGGCTTCATCTCACTGAACTTTGGCTGCCACCAAAGAGCTAGTCACTCTAGGCTTCCTGTTCAATCAGTGAAAATGAACAGGCACTCTGGGGCATAATTAATTTGATCCATTCCAGAAGTCTGCTTTACAATGGGATAAATCGTTCCTTAGATGCCACTGACTATTGATTTATTCTGTGGTAATATCCACACTATAGACATCTACATTCAGTCAGATATTTGACTTTTTCAGTGAACTTTGTCTTGTAACAGCACTAGGAAGAAGCACGAAGAGCAAAAGCCCAGATGTTAATAGATTTTTAAGCATCTTGTCCCCAGGTCAAAATTAGGTACCCTCCAGAACACATCTCTAATTTAAGGAAGTTTACAAGGGTCAAAGTATGCAACAGAGGCAGCGATCTGTTTACCTCTTGCAAAATTAATGATTCTGATGTCCCCAAAGAACACTGGCATAATTTAGATATCACATCCTTGAAGATACATAAATATTGTACATACCTACAAACATGATTCGAGGCACGTATTGTCCATCAGGTGACAGGTTTTTATCTGTGGTTTCATGCTGGCAGAAAAATGAAAGCTAGTTATTAAAATACTTCTGTATATTTTGCTGAGTAGTACCACCTGTGAATAACCTTGTACCAGAGGACAAAACTGGATAGGCATTACTTGTATGTAAATACACATGCACAAATGCCTCTACTTATATAACTAAAATGCCAGAGATATTAGCTAAAATGACATGAAAAAACAAGACAAAGAAAGAGAAAACACAGACCATAAAAAGATACCAGTCAAATCGCCCCAAACCCTTCATACCATGAGATTCAGCATAACAAAGTTATTTTGGGCCATTTCCTGTATTTCTTCATTTTCTGCAAAAGCTTTCTTCAACGCTAGAAAAGACAGGATAAACTTTGAAGTCCATCTCAAACTCTGCCTTTCCATCTGCATTTGGGCATCATATTGGCCAGAGACTGGCCACATTGTTCCTGACTCTGCTGATTCACATTCCTGAGGAGACACTTAAGGGCTCTATGACTGCTTTTGGGGGTTTTTTGACCCATGGCAGTACAACCTCCCAGCTGTGAAAATGGAAGCTCTCTTCTGTTATTTATGAAGCCTGTCATCTCAATGGATACCATGTCTTGGCTTGACAAAAGTGCATTATTCTCAGAAAATTCTTGTTAGATCAATTTCAGCAGCCCTATCCTCGCCTCCTTCTTTAGTTACCAGTTCAGGAGACCCAAACAATATTAAATCTGTTTAATGAGTCAGTAGCAAATCTGTGCCTCTTAATTTAAACTGATGAGTGCTGCATTTGGGATAGCAGTACAGCAGCGCTGAGTATTTTTCATGTTCTTTATTGGGTAGTTTCATAGTGGAGTTTTTGTAGATAACGGTAATAAATTCTTCAATTTTCAGATACATTTTCATTTGCCTGTTTCTTTAAATAATTTTCCTAAGTGTAAGGTAAATATATAGATAGGTTCAATTTCTTATAAAAATATTCACAACATTTTAACACACAAAAAATCAAAATTACCTTGGCAGTATTGACAGTCTTCCAAATGATGAATTACCATCAGTGGCTTGTTACTTTGTTAATAAGAATAAAAGATGTAGTTAGATGATTTGACGAGTAGGCAAACGGATGATTTTACTAGCAGACCGAAAAAGGCAAGTTGTGTTTAATCCCATGTTACCCCGCAGTAAAACCATACAGACATTCATTAAAGTATTACAGATATTTTTGAGCAAGGGAAGGGAGCATAAATACTTCATAAAAGAGAAACAGAGAAATAGAATTTCTACATCTGAATAGGTTGTCTATAGTAAGAGATTCTAGAAGAAAGAAACAACAGTTCCTCCATAATTTCATTCCCAGATAATAAATAATCAAACTGAAGAGCTATTTAATGTTGCTTGGGTATGAAGTTCTCCATGATTAAGAAAATAAAAATAATCTGTATGAACAGGAATAAAATAATTTTTATAAGATTTATATTTTGGATGTAAAAAAAAAATTCTCTGCATTTTCTCCTGTATTTTTTTAAACTATATTTACTGTTCAGCAAATCAGTTACTAATCCTTGATCTGCTATCACTGTCAAGAGTTGTTAGTTTCTAGCCATTTTCACCTATGATACATGATATCAATTGTCTTTTATTTTAAAAATAATTTACCTTTAATTTAGCAATAGCTGATGCTACACTATTGTGATTTAAAATGAACTGTAAAATATATTTGAATAGGTGTCGTTATGAATTCTCAAATATATTTTCAGCAGAGTTCCAGAGAAAATTCAGATTGGAACTTCCATTTCTACCAAGACAGTGAGAAACTGTGAGTATATCATGGACAAATTCCAACTAATAAAGTGTTGGGGAAAACATCAGAGGCAGCATATCTCCATGCAAGAACAAACGCAACTGATTTCAAGGAAGTAATCAAAGGTACATGATATTAAAACACAACAGATGTAATTGAAAAAATTATGGTATCTATTTATCATTGTTAATTCAAATTACAACACTGCTCTTGTGACAAAGAAATAACAGCATTACATTGTCAGCCCATAATGTTACTTCAGAGTCATAAGATCCCTACAAGGGCTTTTATTTATAGACACAGTCTGTTTTATTTAACTGGGTGGTCTGCAGATCAGCTGTCACGGTGTTTCTTTGTTCTGTTTTACTATAGTGTATTCCAGCACGTCAGAGTAACAACTTTGTCTTCATACTACTTTTTAATCTCTTACCTTTTTTTTGCTTGATAAAGCCCTTCTTCATAAGTTTGTACCCAGGTAATTTCATCTCCCCACCCTAGAAGTATAACAAGTAGATTAGCTGGTGGCCAGGAAAGTAACTAATAACAAATTCCTTTCTTTTTTTAATATTTATCAACACTTGTACACAAATAAGATTTGGGTCTTTTAGTCAAAGGTTCTCTAACATTATGGATATACTAATTCTACATCTCCTGATAGGTACACTGAAAGATTAAAAAACCCCAACCAAACAACCAACCCCCAAAAAAATCTCAGCTGGTTGTGTATCCAGCTCAGGTTCTTTGACAGACTAGCTGGCTATCTTTCTAAATGCTCAGAAGTCCCTAAATGAGCACCCAAATCCTTAATATCTTTTTGTTATCTGCTCCATATTTCATGTTGACCCTGGGACTTAAAGAGAAGCTGGCATATAAAAGAGAAAAATAAAATATGACAGCTCGAATAAGATCAGCTTTAATATGAATGTCATTAGAACAGTCTCGGGTTATAAATTTCACTCCAAAGTAATGAACTTCAATCCCTGGAGTTGCAAGTATGTAATTTAATTAAATAATTTCATAAAAGAATGGCTGTTAAATAAAAGTCTCCACCAAAACAAAATCCCAATAGATCATCAGCTTCATAGCTCATCCGTAGCACAGATCTCAAAAAGCAAATTGTCCAGTTGGTTTTACACCTTCAGCTCCCAAAGGTCTCAGCCCCTCTGTAGTAGATCCCTGCATCCTAGGCAGTGTGGCTCCATTCATGACAGCCCTCATGGGAATTGTAGAGAATTTCTGGATCTGGATCAGGTTAGAGCTCTGTTTCTTCTGTGTGGTCTGGACAGTGCTTGAACCAGCCCAGATTTGCTGTTAGATTTCTCACAGTACAATTGCTTGTGATTCTACTGGATCACCTCTTCCTTCAGTAGACAGATCTTTCTGGCTGATGATGGGATTCTGGCATGCTGACCAGTGCCTTCCCAACCCTGGCCGCAGTCAGCTGCTGATGAAGGCATCTACATAGAGGAGTAGGAGTCATTTTCGAGCAGGTTTAAGTATTCCCCTTTGATCTGTGAAAATTACTTGTAAAGTGTGCAAGGCATCCCGAAGGGCCTGAAATCAGAATTAGAAAAGCAACACCTGCTTTCTGTCACTGCTTTTTTTTTTCAAAACCACCAGAATGTAAGAGTTTTTACTATCTTCCTGTGCTTTCAGGCTTAGTGGGAACAATAAATCCTAATCTACATACTGGGTTGATTATAAACTTTCCCCCAGGATACTGCTTACAAAAAGTGATTTGAAATTTCTCTTTGGATAGTCCAGGTGTTGCATGATTTTGTTAAGTGGTCTTGGAGCAATTAGGCTCAGATGGAACCTCTGTGACACGTGCAACTTTGCTAGAATAGGGAAACCTCAGAGGTGAGCTGTGGGATCTGCAAGCTTTGCACAGTTTGTAGAAGAGGTCAGGAAGGGAGATGGAGATATTTTGTGCTTAATAGTTCCAAAAGGAGATGGAATATGGAGAAGGGGAAAAGAGCTTGCTGAACTTTTTTTCTGCTTGTATTTCTAAGGATTGGTCAGACATAAATTACTTAAAACAGGGTCTTTATTTAACAACCAGGTTGAAAATTATGCACCACGAGGAAGTGAATTACTCACAGTCATGCTTTGCAGTGGATATCTGATGAAAATTAAAAGGAAAAAAAAAGTCACACAGAAAACCACACCAATGGTTCAAATGGTTTTGTGTACAAAAATGGGTCTGTAGAAAAATTGTCACATAGCAACTGAAGTTATGAAACTGTTTCAGCAGTTGGTAAGTTGCCATAATAAAATATCTTTCAAATGGCACATGAAAGAATATTTTTTCACTGATAGTCCTACAAAATACATCCTGATTTGAGAGACTCACTTTGGGTTATTTGCTTCTGCTGGGTCAATGTGAGTTACATAAATTATGCAGTTTATATGAGGCCCTCAGTCATATCCTTAAGAATAAAGTGGTGGAGTGAAATGACATAAAATATGAACATGCCTTACTCAGAGTGTCACTTAACACTAGAGAAACACACCTTGGTAAGTGTGAATGTACATTTAAAAGAAAAATATTTGCTGGCCCATATGGCGAGGTAAGGACGTAACTACATACAATAAATATACAATACCTCTTGACAGTGTCTGAGGTGCTCGTTTTTCCTTTTTAATTGCCATTGCAAGGTTGGAAGTGACTGCAATTAACAGAAGGGACAAGGCCAATGTTGAATGGAGCATTGTTTCCCTTTCAATGCAGCAAGGAAACTGGAAAACAAAGCAACAACTTTAGTCACATGGATTTGTCACTTTGCACAGTGTAAATCAATGTGTTAGTGGCATTCTAACAGTCTATACTTCAGAGACAGCTTTGGTTAGTTCTAGAAATGCCTGCTTTTGTGAGAAAAATGCAAAATGGAAATACTTAATTTTACGGTGAAACACTGCTATCAGCTGTCAAAATTAGGTTGCAGGGGACTGTTCTCATTTGATTCTTATGAATTAGCAAATGTTGTAACGCTGGATCATGACAATTCCAAGACAGTGCTATAGGTTTCTTAATTTCAGTGGAACATAACAGCATGGGATTTTTTTTTTTATATTAGGATTTTTTTGGCAAAAGATGTCTCATGATATCCTCGTTAATCAAATAGGAAAATTGGCAAATATTTGCCTCCAAGTATAATACATTTTAAATTGGCAAATCCATCCAAAAGGTTGAAATTGCCATAATTTTTAAAATCTGCACTCTGTGAACCAGGATGTTAAGGACTGTGAGATAAATATCAAAGAAATTTTCATCAGTTTCTCACAATGAAAACTTGAAAAATTTCCCTATTCTTCACAGCTTTTTTTACACTGACTTTCAGCTGAAGTCCTTCTGAATAAAACAATTCATCTGTGCTCCTGGCTGCTTTAGTATTCTCTTCCTGACAAAGATCATTACAAGAAATTCAGTAACATCTGACCTCAATAAAAGTCAGAGAATAGAAGGAAGAGTTGAGGAAAGGCATTAAAAATCCAATTTTTTTTTTAATTAATAGGTCTTTCGGTCTGGTGCAATCAAATTTAGGCATGAAAACTCTGATATTCATCAGGATGGTTTCAACTGAGTTAAAAAATGTAATGCATATAGCCCAGAATACTACCCAATCTTATCAGTTCTCACTAGAGACTCCATTTTTTGGAGGAATGATATTAAGTGCAGAATTATGACTCTGAGCACTGGCAAAAGAAAACGCTTCATGTTTTTTAGGACTGAAAAGCAAGAAAAGTGATGCTTTAATGAATCTCTTAACATTGCAGAATCATTGTTAGCAGTTAAATTTCTTGTGAACACGTTTTGGAAACTCCGTTTCCAATAACTGGCAATCTCAATCCGAGAAAAGCATTCTATTCATGTGGAGAAAAATTTGTATATTAAAATATGCAAAAATTTAGGAAAAAATATCATCTTGTAGTAAGAATCTTATATTTCTGAAAAGTTTCCCTATGTTGGTAAAATAATCAGTATATTCATTATAATATTTTTCTCTTCAGTCTTGTCCCAAAACGATTCCCTTTACCCACACATGGCATCACAACTGTAGAGTTGTTCTTTGTTTTACATAGTCCCCTAGGCTCATTCATGTTGGCTACTCTTGACTGAGTTTTAGAAAGGAGTCTCCTTCGGAGCTTACTTATTATGCTCAGTAACATGATGATTGGAGATTATTGATGTTTAATGAGAAAATGAGAAGTTTTCCAGTGTTTCCAAAGGGGAGACTGTAATTTTTGGTTAAGTCTGGGGGATGAGAATTTTTGAATAAATCCTCAACAAAAATTCCATTCAAGTTTTCCCCATGTTTGTGCAAACCACTAACTTCAGTCAGCTAAAGCTGGTCATTACACCATACTACTATAGTCTTGAAAAATGAGTATTTGTAGCAACTCTATGTGAAAATCAGCAACTATCTTTAGTATAAGTTTACTAATTAGCTGTTGACAAATTATCATTTCTATTAACATGTTAAAATTATATTTAAACATGAATAGATATGGCTTGAAATCACACCAGATAATGTCTTTCTAAAGCAGACATGGAATGTGCAATTCAGTTCTTTCTTTCATTATGTATTCAGAAAAAATCAAAGTGTAGATCTCTTCAAATCACAAGTATATTTATCTGAAGCTTAATATTTGATTATCATTCTATTGAAAACCAGTAGGGTTTTGGAAGGATAATTTATCAAGCTGCAGCTGGAGATAGTTTAAATTTAATAATCTGAATTTTTGATACTACATGATAAAACATTAATTAATTGACTTAGAGAAAACAATGACAGATAACACCATATAGATTACCTTCAACTCTCTGCCAGAACAAACATTTGCTAGCTAATCTCTATGCATCTATCAATTGTCTTTTTGTATAACTAACTTTGTAAGGTATTTGTGAACCAAACCTCATTGCTGTACTAAAGGAGAGTTGAGAATGAGAAATATTTGCTCACCAGCAGTGATCAATTCTCCTGATTGAAGGTCCTCTTCCTGGAACTGGTTAGTTAAAAATCAGTGGGATTTAAGCACACTGTGATTTAAGCACACCTGAGCTGTCCAGGTCTCTGTGTCACAACAACAGTGCATTCACCTGGGAAAAAATGAGAGGAACCTTTGAGCTGAAAACCAAATTAGTGTGTTTCCACCCTCCCCCTTCCTTTTCTACCATCCTTCCAACTTTCATTCTTGTGAGTTCCCATGCTTATACACTGAATCCTTGCATTTCTCTTCATCTTGCTTGTATCAGGTGTCTTGTTATGAGGATTGGAAATAAATAGTGGCTTATGTGTGTCTGCTACTTCCCCCCTCAAACAGTTTGACTCTGGCTTATATCCAGTGTAAAAAGAAACTGCCAATGAAAGCGGGAACTGTAGATGCTTTTGTTCCCAGTGAATGGCAGGGTTCACTGGTGCTTGAAGACAGGTATGAACCTAATAGGAAGACACAAGGGTTACTTTGTGTAGAGAAGTGTAATTAACAAATAAAACAAACTTTTTTTTTTTGAGACAGAAATAAAATTAGTTATTTAAAGAATATGGTTTGAAGTACCTGATTATCCTGATCATTGCTCCTGGGAGCTGTAGTTTAAAACTGTCTGATTCTTTGAATATGATGCTTGATATAATTTTACTGAACTTGACAAATACAGGAAAAGTCCTTTATTCACCATTTTTGCACAAAGAAAGAATGAGCTGGATCATCTTTTCCTTCCTCCTTGGATAGCTTTTGCAAGGGAATCAGAAGCAATCCTCTTTTGATTCTTGATCTCCCAGACATTTGTTAATATGGACTGTATGGTTACACTTCTTATAGTTAGAAATACAGAAATTTTCCAAAATTACTGAAGTGTATCGTTTCTCATCCCTGACATATTGTGTTATTCATCCCTGAGGTATTGTGTTTTACATGGCACAGGTTTCTTACTGTAAGAAGTAAAGGGGTAGATATTCAATCAGCCTAAAATTAGTGCTGAGCTACCTGCGAGTGCCCTTTGGCAGGATGATCAGCAATTTGTCTCTATATTTGAAGGTCACAATTTCAGCCTTTGTCAGTCTTGCCACAGAGAGATTGGCAGCCCTGGTGAAAAAGACCTTGTCAAGATTTAATGCTGAAAGAGAATGACTGTAATAATTTATAAATCCAAGCTGGATGCCTTCAGTAAACCTATTCAGTCACTGCTTGTTAAGTGGGATCTTATCAGCTCCCTGTCCTTAATTTCTTCTGCATGTGTTCAGCATCCATACATGACCAGAGTGTGAAGCCAGAGCTCCATCCCAGCCAAAACTGTCCTGCCTGACACTCAAAAGGCCGACCTGTGCAGCAGCAGTTACCAGCCAAATACTGAATCTCTGAAATGTAGAGCACATGCTTCCATATTCCTTCATTAAACTAGTGTCTCTTGCTAATTGAACTTGGCCAACTTAGTCTCCAGGGGAATGTGGGTGGAAGGTGTTTGCATTTTTCTTCTCTAGTCTAAAAAAGTAATTTTGGAGGTACAAGTAATTATGGATTAACTGTGTATATACATTTCTATCCAGATCAAAATTAGGAAATGTAACAGTTGGCTAAATATAGGGCAGAGCAAAACAGCAATAAAGTATGTGAAGAGGACAGACTTTTAGAAAGAGAAAAATGTTGCAGAATAACTGACACTTGAAATCACATGCTACTGCTTCCATGTGAGTCATGCAGCAGCAGATTTAGGTACGTATCCATACATTGGATAGCCCATTTATGAAAAGTGAAGCTGACTTTTAAATTCTAATTTACAGAGTGCTGCATATATGACATTGCTGATGAAGTTCTTACTCTGTCCAACTCTGCCTTAGTTCATGTGTGAGCAAGGGATAAGATCACAGCTCCTGTGACAGGTGTAATTCAGAGTCATTCCTGCAACCTTTGTTGATAACTCTGCAAAAGGCTTTTATACAATCAATGTGTCTCTGTAAATCAATACAAAATTAATTAGGAGATTACACAGGGAGATTGTAGTGTGGCCGGAGATGCACCACCACACATGCCCAAATAATTTTTACGCTAAACAGTAGGAGAAAGCTTCACAGAACACATATTTTCATGGATGAGAGGTACTTCTGGCTCCTAACACAGGTATTTGGTGTGGAGTGGGTCTGGACCTCAGGGTGCATTCAAGCAGCACATGGTACCAGAGCAGAGAACTACAAGCTTAGACTGCTGAGCACTAGCTTTCACTGCCAAAAAGGAATAAGTGGAAAAACCCTACAAATGTCTATTGGACTCAAGTTTTGACGGACAGCCAAAAACCATTATTAGAAAATTTCTGAATAATTTCAACAAAGTCATTTAGAGAAATCTAGATATGACATGCTGGTTTGTTTCTGAGTGTGTCTTTCAAAATAGTCACAATTGTGGAAATAGGGCTTCTGGTATTACAAGCTGATTCACAACAAATGTACTTCCCCTCAGCTCCCTTTCCTAAAAGGAAAGCTCCAGGTACTACTCAAGTGAACAAACTACTCCAGTGTTATCTGTGCCCCAGCAGTTTGCTTCCACTAGACCACTGTACTTTTGTAGCTTTGTATTCCTGTAAAGACACTGTTATGGAACACAAGCATAATAATATAAGTGGAAAAACATTTATTGAAGTAGTTTTTACAGTGGTTAATGCTGGCTGCAACCCTTATTCTCTACTTCCCAGGCCAATGTCCAGGCTTTCACTTCTAAGTCTACATCTTATTCCAGTATTGTAACCTCCAACCTCCTCCAGAGGTTACTCTGCATTTTTTTGGAAACTAACCCCTCCACCCTTACACCACCCTGTGGCACAGCACCTGGAAAACTTGGTTTCAGGCTTAATTGGTGCCTTACTTCAGCTGTCTGCAGTTCTGTGCCTGTGAGTCACTACCGTCCATTGGCTTCCACTTCCCAACAAGATTATTTTCCTGCCCTCTAGGCTTCTCAGATTTCCCAGAACTTTTTATAGATACAAAGCTTTGAAGACTTCAAGGGGAAAAATGTAATTTATTATTTTTCGTAAATTTTGCTGAGATTTACGGAATAAATGTGTTTTGGTAAATAAAAGGAAACCAGTGCGAGATGTTGGTTCCTCCCTTCAGTCCAAAAGTACAAACTGTTCTGGACTGTTTATTTAACGTTGTGTGAGCCCTGGCAGGCAGAGCTTGCCCTTCTACCAGTGGATCTTCCTCTTACGGGTGGTTCTAGTCATGCCAGGGGAAGCCTTGGAAGCCATTCTGGCCTCCCAAGCTGCTGGTGCACCCCAGGGCACACACTGCCAGCCCAGAGGAGGGGTACAGTGCACTCCATGCCCATGGCTGGGGAGATCCTGGCTGCTGAAAAGGGGTGTGAAGGCTTGCCACCTTTTGCAGTCCTTAATTAGAAAAGGGGAGAGTTGCATGTCCTGCACGCTGTAAGTCTGGAGAGTAGCAATAAGCCTGTTGCATGCTCAAGGCTCTCAGTTCTCTCCCTTCCAGCAGACTCCGCCTACACACAGGGTTGCATTTGACTTGGTCATATGGCAGCAGAGGGATGGGGGCAACTGGAATGACTGTTTCCCCAAGGCTTCATTGGACCTTGATTGGCACGAGGACCTGCAGAACGTACCTGTCCTCCTCTATTCCAGCTTCCTCTTGCTGCATCCCGTGTAGCTGTGGGCTGGTGTTCCCCACCATCATGGGCATGGCAGGGAAGAGGGGCAAGGGCAGTGGTGTGGAGCCCAGGCAGCGCCAGTCTCTGCACGGTGCATGAACATCGATGGCTTTACATCAAGTTTCCTCTCATACAGGGAACTAACAAGCACATACATGTCAGGGTACCACATGCAACAGGCTGTGGCTGAGCCTTTCTGGTCAAGGGCATGTTTTCTCTATTTTTAGTCTTTCAATCTTTCTCTCTTTTCAATGACTGCTTCAGCTGTGAACAAACACCTTCCTCAAAATGTACGTCATCTGACAGAGCTGAAAGCTTATACAGAAATTGTCTTTTAGACCACCTGAATAGACTATAGTTTCTTTATTCCAACAAATTATGAAGTCTTACTGAAATTGTGGGCTGAGAAAATGATATCTAGAATTTACTTTGCCCTCAAAGTTATAATTTTTAATTTTTTTTTTTTTAACATTCACAATGTGTTGTGGAGGCATATTTCCAAAAGCTGTTAGAGTGGCTCAGTAACTCTTTGAGGAAGCCAAGGAGTTTGATATCTGACATGATTATATTTGAGTTTCTGGATGATGTGATGAGGTGTTTGGATTCAATAAATGGTATACTGAAACATCAATATCTAAAGAAAATGAAATGCAAGTACTGCTGTAGCTGGAGGACTTGGGTGGGATTTCTCTAGCACAAATATGATCTTTTAGTATTTATAGGTTATGCATCTCTTTATTGATGTGGCCAGTAAGACAAAAATTTGATTGTTACCAATGCCTCTAGTTGGCAGTGTTGCATTACTAATAGCAAAAGGACAAATCTTTCTGTTTCAACTTTGCTGGATTCCAGTTATAAATTCTTAATACAGATAATTTAAACATAAAAGTGATTGCATATAAAAATTCGTGAAGTTGTGAAAAACAGTTGAAAATTCATTTTGAAAAATAAAAATGCTTTTTATTTTGGGTTTTTTTGTTTGTTTTTAATTTATGTGCACATAAAGTAATTTGAGAGGTGACAGGGCTAGAAACCCAGACCAGATTTTAAGGAGGAGAGCCAGGAAATTCAGCATGTGTTTTGGAAGAGATTGAGAGCTCAGAAATATTCAATGAAACTTTCTGACTGCCACAAGAAATGAAAAGCGGCTGCATTTCCCTGCAGTCAGAGTGTCCCAATAAAGACTTCACAAGCAAGAATGCTCTCCAGAAACACATTGGACTACTTTGCTGCAGCTGTGAGAGTGAGTCAACCAGGCCTCTGTTGAAAGAGATCCTGTTGCTGCAATGTTTTCGTGATGTTTTCCTGCAGTGACATCACTGTATCTGCTTTAAAATGTACTGCCATCTAAAAATCAAAAGATATTGTGTGCTGTAAAGTGAGTGTTTACAGTATCTTTTAGTGTTTCAGCTTTCTGCACAGGTATTCCTTTAACTTTTACTATAATGAGAGGTTTATCTTAGGGCTTGCTTCTGTGAAGGACTGACGCAAGAGGGCATGAGAGCAAATCAGTATCTCTGAACTTTTGTCTCCTCTTTTACTCTCTGTTCTTCAGCCAAACCTTGATCCTGTAAATTTTTGAGTCCTTGGTTCCTTTCCAGAACAGTGCTTGATACATATTTAACTTTAGGCACATTAACAACCCCATTGATGTCCACAGGATCACTCATATGCTTAAAGTTAAACATGTTTTCGAGTGTCTACACTGGATCAGAGAATATGGGATTGAGGTCTCTGGCAAATCTCTAGGCAGGCTTCTCCTGAAGAAGACAGACAAGCCTCTCTTCTGATGCAGACCTGTCCTGGTGCAGCCAGGTTTATCCCCAGCAGCCAATTGCTGGAAAGGGTCTCTAGCAGATCATTTCTCACTGACTGAGCAGACCATACTCTTTACCAACAGAAAGGTTTCAGCTTTGGCCATCACAGTGCAGAACTGCTCACCTGAGCAGCTCATAGAGCTGCAACCTGAAGTCCCTGCACTAACCCCTTCGGTGGCACTGACCCATTACCCTAAGTCGGAGCTCGTTCAGTGCAGTTGATCCGTGGAGCTGTCATCCCTTCATCTGAAACCTGCTGTCACACTGAGTGCTTTTCTTTCAGTCTGAAAAAGGTAAGTGACAACAGACTTCCATATTCCTAAAATGTCATGCTGCTTTCACATATATTATTCTCCAGAATATATGAGAATATTTAGTATATTCAGAACACTTTAATCAGATTTTTTAAAAAACACAAAACAAACACAACCTTTATGGCTTGTTATGGCCTCTTGTTATCACAATTCACATCTGAGAAGCAGAATGAATTTAACATTACCTGACTAAAAACAACTTCACTTTGAGTGGTAGAGATGGAGATGGGAAACACGTAAAAGTACATGGGAGTACCTTGAAATGTTGAGAGGTATCCCGGGTCTAGCTTTTCTTTATCTCCATGGCCATTAAAAACTGTTAATTATCACAGTCTGGCTTCCAACGAGTAACAGTTTGCTTTTAGTATTGGAATATATTTTTAGCCTGGCCAAGCATAACCTTTTGTTATTTGGTTGTTACATTTATAGCCCACATAATTGATGCAGAAAATTTTTTTGCTTCAGATTAGCTTCTAGCTACAGTATTTTCTTGTTGTTGCTTTTTTAAAGCCAAGGATTAATAGGAGACAGAAACACAAGACTGAATCATCAAGTGCTGTCTTCCAATGGAGGCAGCCACACCATAATATCCTGCTTATATATACATTAAAATTACTGAGGAATTTTACCATTCTTCTTTTTCAAGCCTGCCTTTGAAACTCACTTCTTTGGAGAAACTCTGATTTAATTAGCCTGAACTTACACTTAACAACTTCTGATCAAGTGTTCTTCTGCCAGCATTACCCCAAATGCTGTTTCTCTCTCTCTCTCTCTCGCGTTTCTTCAGAGAAATCACATCTCAGCTTGGTCTTCTTTCTCCTGGTTGGAAAAAAGAAAGAATTTTGAGTTCCTTCATTTACCACATCTATTTACCCTTTTATTCATCTACACGAGCAGGAGTTCAGAGTTCCTGAACAGAGATGTACCACTATGTTCCAGATATGGTCCTACATGGGCCTGTGCAACTATTGTCTCTCTGAAAATATGTTGTCTTACACCCCCTCGTGTCCCATTTGCTTCTCTTACAGGTTCTTTTTAATATACTAGTTACTAATGACCAATCTATAATATGATCTCACCATATGTACACCCACATCTTTTTTCTTCCAGGATTTTTTCCAACTGACAGGGCTCAAACTTTGAGCAGAAATATCTGCCAGTAGTCTCTGTAAAGAGAATGTTTTATATAAGTGCCTTTTCCATCTTTAACAATCTTTATAAGATGTGGATGAGCTGGCCTTGAGGCCACTGAGGAAAACTGAAACATCCTGCATTTTCCTCTCCATACCTAGCCTAAAGCAGTTAGTCTCCCTAAAGCCACTACTTTAGGCAATGGAGATGAACAGAGATGACTGCAAGCATATGGATTAAGTCTACTCTAAATCACCATCTGGAGAAGCCAGATGGGACCCGGATGGGAGGCACCAGATAAAGACACCCTAGGAGACTGGCTCCTATCAGCTGATGTCAGTCTTTTTAGATATCTTTCCAGTCACATCTCTGGAAGATCGCATCATATCTGTGTTCTTCTTTAGCAAGTACATCACAATAGATGTACCAAAAAAAAGAAAAAATTCTTAACAGATTTCAAGCCCAAAGATCTAGATATCTGAAACACTAAACTCTGTATTACTGATACTGAAACTAACCTTAATGAGTCTATTATATGCCCTAGACATCACCATACACCTGTTTAACTGATATCCTGCTGACAAGCATTTCCAAGGCCTGCATAATAGCTTCCAGCTGTGGCACATTCTGTATATGTTTTTTCAGAATAAAGGATGATTTTTATTTGAATTAGTGAGGAGTCTCAGTAGACAGCTATAACCTGACAGTTCTCTGTTATTTGTGATGGCAATGCTGCACAAAAAATGTTAGAGATTCCAGTGACTTTATCTTTTCCCCTTTCTTGAATAAGAACTAGGTTATTGTTACATATGCATGTAAATTATTGCAACTGGTATTTGGCTGAAAGATTTCGGTGCAGTGGTTCAGGAAGCATGGTTTGTGGGGTACTGCTCAGCTTCTACCATGTCGCATTTCCAAGATGAAAAGGAAATTAATGAACTTTCAGCTTACACCACTGCAACTGGGAGACAGGTCACAAAGAGACCAACGTATTCAGGTTGTGAGCGGTAGTCACATTTCTTAACTTTATGTGACTAGGGAGGAAGATACTGTGTCTAGGCTAAGCTAGACTTAGCCACGTCCTCTTCTCAGTCACCCTCTTGGGAGACCCCACCTTTCTCGTAAGACAGATCCTGAGAAAATTGGCCTCTTCTGTAAAGTGAGTCTTGGACTTTCTGACTGTAGAATCCTCCATATTCTGCAAGGACTGTTGCCTAAGCAGAAAAAAATATGTTTGGGAAAAACATGTGATCCCCAAATATATGGGTAAACATAGATCATTGGAAAGCAAGTAGGTCTAGTATTTATCTTCTTTACCCAAGATTTTGGGGCTATTTTCAGTACTTTTCTTTCATTTCAACAAAAAAGAGCAAAATCTGGATCTCACTGCAAGAAAAAAACAACTTTCTCCCTTATGCCATGCTGTCACCTTCAGCAGTCTTTTTCTTTTGGCAATGTGATGATATGTCTTCTGAAACATAAGCCCATCTTTTGACAGCATATACTTTTATCTAGAAAGTTTCCTAATGGTTTTTAAAAAAAGTTTTAAAATTCCTTTTCTCTCATGATTTTCCTAAGTGATGGAAAATCCTTATTTTAACCACTGTTATTCAGGATAATATATAAGAATAGTTCTAATCCTGACCCTGACCCTCTGTAAAACAGCAGAACAGGGCTTTTTTTTTTTTTTTCTTGAGGGAAGACCATATGTGAGGGAGAAGAGAAAAAATTAGAACAAGTTTACAGGGTAGACAACTGGAAGAACACAGAGGGACATTTTTACTTCTAAACTGAGAAATGTTTTCATAGTTTGTCATTTGAGAGATGCATACAAATCGCAGGGTGCTTTGTAGTGTTCCTTGGGGTGTTAAGACAGAAGGAAAAGTGCCTAGTTTTCACAGTATTTGTAAGATTTCAGTGGTGAGACTGGAATGAAAAGGAGTGTATGCCAATGGCTGAGTTAATTTGCTCATGTTGCAAGAAACACAAATTGAAAAAAATTAATAAAAATGAAAGAAAATATTTGATTACAATGTTTAATTTTGTCAGGAAAATCCAACACAAATGACATAGCAGAGATCAATGGAAACTTGTGAAAAGAACGTCTGTTGTTTGTCAGAAGAGCATGAACTAGACTGAAGGCTGAGCTGGTTCCACAGTGTAGTGTTACTGCAGAGGTAACTGGCACAGCTCATCATTAGTGGGAACTGGACTGTGTGGGAGAACGCTAGTGGCTTACAAATACTTTCTCCTTCTCTTGTATGTTGATTTAATTCTAACTTAGCTTGCCAGTAGCCATAAATTGCATGGCAGTGCTATATGGATACCATAGCACAATTGACCATGCTTTTGTCTTCTAGTTGAGAGGGGAGTTGTGGGGATTTTCCCTCTGGTAAACGCAGATACATGCACTAGATTAGATGCCTTCTAACATAGAAATCTAAAACAGTAGGTAGAGGTCTCTAAATTTTGTATTTACACAGATCATAAGACACTTTCATGAAAGTTGACCAACTCAGATATGGAAGTCTGCACTGTGGACATCTGTAGTAAAGTTGTGTGGAGGGAAATCTACCCCATATGTTTCAGCTGTGAATGACAGAGGGAGAGCACAGTGGAGGAGCCGCTGAAGAAACCAAGTACCGGAACAAACCTATCCTCAGGGACACAAAGCTGACCCTGGGCTCTTACTGAAGGGAGGTCTCTTAGATTGACAATATCCACCAAATTAAAAAGGAAGTAAAGGCACAAGTCATGACAGCAGCAGCAAAATTCAGCTATTGTTGTACTACACAACACATTTCAGAGGGATCACATTAGCTACAGTGCTGAGATGGCATTTGGGTGACAGGATGATGCTGTAAAACCTAGAAATTTCTTGCCTGTTTTTTTTTCTTCTCATCTTTATAAAACTCTCCTTCTTGGCTGTCAGGTCATGCTATTTTGACTTTTTCCAAAGCATGCTTTTGAAAATGGAGGAATAAAGGATTTCTTTAATTATTAAAGAGAAGTGTGTTTTCTGTTTCCTAGCTGAATCTAAATTTGTTAGGTGGGTTTAAATACAGAAACATTCAAGTTGGAAATGGCCTTGGGAGGTCTTCAGTCCAATCTCCTGCTCAGGGCAGATTTAACACTGAATTCAGACCACATTGTTCAGGGCTTTGTCCAGTCGGGTCTTGAAAACCTTCCAGGAAAGGGATTCCATTACTTGTCTGGGTAACCTAATTAAATGTTTAATTATCTTCAGAGATTTTTGGTTTTGTGTGTCTTTGAATCCAGTTAGGACCTTCCCTGCTCCAGTTTACAACATTTTTTCCCCCAGTGAAAAGCTTGTCTCCTTCTTTTAACCCCTGAGTAAACACTGGCAGGCTTCTGTTAGGTCCTCCCTAAAACATCTCTTCCCCAGGCTGATCAAGCCCAAATCCTCTGGGTTTTCCTTATGGGTCAGTTGCTCCAGCTCTTAACTCTTGGCAGCATCTTGCTACATACATTTGCCAAGGTCTATCTTCATCTTTCATGTGTTTAGTGGTACAAAACTGGATACAGGTTTACATATGCTGTCTAATAAATGCCATGTAAAGGGGAATAATCAGTAGCAGGACTCTTATTAATTCAGTCGGGTGCTGTTGGCCTTTTTTTTCCTGCCAGGGCACACTGTTGGCTCATGTTGGGCGTATTGTCAAGCAAGACCCTGGTCCTTTTCAGCAGAGCTGCTACTAAAGCTGCTCAGTCTCCAGACTACACTACTGCATATGTTAGCTCTTCCCATGTTCAGGACTTTGCATTTTTTCTTTGTGAATTTCATGACACTCCAGAAATGTAATCACATTAAATTGAGCTCAGAACAAAGCACATCTAGTTTCTCACCCCGCTCAAACAACTAACAGAAATGCTGAGAGTGGAAAAGCAGAAATGGTTAGAATAGGACAACCACAGAATAAGGCTATGTGATTAAAACCAGGCAGGGACCTAGAGGCAACCTCTCAGTGTGATTTAGCAGTTCACAATTAAAGGCTTAAAGCTCCAGTCTGTAACATTACATCCGTAAACATTCTCTTTTCACAACCATGCCCTAAAGTAATGAAAAGTTCTTGGGTATGAGAAGAACCAAATTGGTTTTATGTTTTGTACTTGGCATAATCTGTAAGCACCTCTTAAAACTACCTCTGATATTCTCATGTCTCATGTATTAATAAAAGCGGATGGAAAACAAGTTTTGTAAATTATATCTATATATCTGTATATCTCAGAATTTATCCCAGGGGTGATTCTCAAGAGCATTTTTAACATTACAAAAAACAGAAAAACCTGGAAAAAATCATGTCAGCAGGCATAATTGAAACTAGTAAACTAACTGTGCTGAGAGAAATGCCATTCCAAATGTATAAAAGTAGGTATTATATGGAAAAATAAGGAAAATTTATGTAGAATTAGTAATCTCAGACATGCTAAGTACCCAGCCTACCTGTTTTTGCAGCTATACTAGTCTTCCTTTGCATTTTTTCATCCATTCTACTATTCTTTGGTTCTGACTTTTGCATTTTGTCAAAATATTGTACATAATGTCTTTGGTGAATGTTGTGTCCAAATTTTATTTATTTCTCTGTGCAATAGGGGCAATAATGTAACTTGATCTAATTTTTAACCATTACGCACAGCAAATAATAAGTATTTTCAAAACCACTGAGAAACTTTAAAAATGAAAAATAAACAGGGGAACATTTGAACAAAGCTATTGCATAAGGAAAAATGAAAGTAGAGAAAGAGAACAAAAATATGAAGTACTCCAGCCAAATTTCAGATTGCACGGTACTTCACTGCCAGAATGCCAGTACTCTGCTTATAAGCTATTATTGTCACAGAAACTCCTGAATAATTCACAAAACAAACTCACAGTATCTAAATATAGTGTTGAAATAACAAAACCATTCTATTTTTTTCCCCAAGTGAAGTAATTAATTCTAGAAATGATGGTTTAGATTAACCTAGCTCAGGTTATTCAAGCCATGTCTATCCAAAATGCACACAAGAGATGTCTGGAATGCCAAAAGGTTCAAAGTGTACTTTATGCTTTTCTAGCTGTCGCATTATTTTATGCACAACACTCCTAACTCACAGGTGCCTGCAATATCACACCACCAGCACACAGCACAGGGTTACTGTTCCCCAGTCTCTAGCCATGTCCTATTTCTTTCAGTATAAGTTTCATCCTACACCAGTGAGGTCACCTCTGCTGTGGAGGAGGCCTTAAGCTGGTGACTGAAGAACTACGAAGACTACTCGCATGTCTGTTCGATGTCACGTGGCCACTGCAGGAATAACCCACTGCAGGATGAGCCGGTGGGTTGAGGGAAGCACAGGCAAGGCAGTCAATTGCACAACAGGAGATCAGGCTCTGCATTTCCTCTGTCTATGGACAAGACTGGGAGTGAGAGTATTTTCTTTTATTCTCAATCCTAAAGGATTACTATCGAAGCCGATACAAGAAGAAAAAACCTAAAAATATCTTTTATAACTGTGAACGTAGACATGTGAACTTCCTCCCTGATAATTGCCACTCCTCTGCTTACCGTTTTTATATAAAGATAATTTACATCAGTGAGGAAGTAATTGAGAATGTCACATTCAAAATGATGTATTCCTGCATCTTCTCTATGACTATCTTAAAAATGCATGAACATCTTGATACTGCTTTATCTTTTCTACGTTAAAAGTGAAGATCTAAAGTAGGTTACTTATGACCAACTTGTATGAATGAAAAAAACCAACCAAAAAGTCATATAGTTTTCCTGTGATGACTCATTTAATTAACTTGCATAACTTATTTCATGGTATTTTATCATATTTACCATTTGCTTCACATGCTTCTGATCCCTGATATCTGGAAATACTTCTTGAATCTTTGTCCCTGCAACTTTAATATTTTGCTTTCCAAAGAATTAATTAAATATTTCAATTTTCATGTCACATTTTAACAACTGATCAATATTTTATAGTCTCTGTAAGTATATTTTTTTGTTGTGTAGCATTGGTTTAAATAATTTGCATCATGTTTGCCTGAGCTATGCTTTCTGTTACTCCGTGGTGATGCCTTTTGGTTATACTAATGAGGAGTCTCAGGAATTGTGTTTTCTGCTGCTTGTGAGCTGTCACTTTCATAAATTGCTTTGGAAATACCCACTTATATGTTATGGTGTCACAGTATTTTTTATGTGTTTGTGCCCCTTGGAAATGCATTATAATACATTCATAACATCTGTGTCATGATGACACTGTCTACCAGTTCTAGCTATAATTGTTTCATGTTTGGTGTTATGACCATCCAAGCTTTCACTGAACAGTTCTGACACAGAGATGTAAAGTCCATATGAGTTTTTATAGCACATTTTACTGTAGCTCAGTTTCAGGTTGAGCAAAGAGATGACTCCTGGAAAGTTGAAAAAATCAGCAGTAATATTTTCACTATTAGTGTTTCTTATAACAGATGAACTGTAATAGTGGTTTTTAACGTGAAATGTTTAATTAATTTAATTTGTTCCTCATCATGTGAAAACTTCATCCTGATTATTCTCATGGCAAATGATTGTGACAAAAGCAATTACCTAAATATGAACTACAGAAGGAGATGAGCCTCTAGAAGACAATGCAGGTAAGGAACAGTATTAGAAGACAAAGAGAAATGCAATCTCTTGCATTATTGAGATGGAGATTAACTGGTGAAGTATTTTTAGGAAATCTCTGAAAAAAGAGTGCTACCTGGAAGTTCCATGTGCAGTCAGTTGAGCCTCTCCCCAGCCAGAAGCACACTTCCTACTACAAAAAGTTAACTTGTTTGTAGCTTTTTATAGTTAGCTTTACTTCATTCTTCTTCGGTTCAGAGAACAGGATGTGCAAGAGAAGTCTTACAAACCACTACCTTTATCAACCAAACTACATTTACCACAAAGGGCCCTAATTTTTTTTTAGAGGTTACTAAAGTATAGATATGTCTAATAATGTCTAGACTGACCTTTCTTTTCACAAATATGGCAGTATTTTAATACAAAAAGCAAAATTTTTGATGGTTCTAAAAAATTGATATTACAAAAAAAGGAAGTACTATTTTAATTTTTAATAAGTGTTTAAAGTTTGAGTTGATTTGTTAAAGCCACTGGTTACTGGCAGTTCTCCCAAATCCTTTCACAGACGGAGGAGATCCCCGGTTCTGTTGTTGGTTTAGGTAATTGCATGAAAGAATGAGCAAGTTTAAGGGAACCTATGTAAAGAGCTCTGTACCTGCTCCAGTGGACAGATTTCAGCTTTACAGAAACACCTTACATTAAGACAGGGTAGGAAAGAGATTCTGGAAATTGACAATTAAGAGTTCAGTTCATAGGATTATTCAGCTAATGTGGAGTCCATGGCGGGTTTACAAAGATTATCCTTTTGAGTAAGCAGGAGAGCCATTATTCATGGACCCATTCAGCTTTGTTGGAGGCTATAGATAGAGAAAGGAATCTTCCTTACTTTGTAACCACCTCACTAGCAAGCTCTGCAGCTGAACTGAATTATCCCAGTTTGCAGGAGATATTTAAATTAATGAACTAACAGAGGTTAAGTAATACAAATCTATGCCTACCTGACAGATTTGGTCTATGTCGTGTACCTCAGCAAGATTTCCCAGCTCTACCTCACTGCTGTCTCAGGTTTCTCAGGATACATGTCTTCCAGATCCTTCTGACTCCAAGAATGAGTTTTTTAGATCGAAACCTAGGGAAAGAACTGAAAAAATAGCAGTTTTGTACATGGCCATTTACAATGTCCAGCCACGTATGTTTTCTCTAAGTTCTTGGCTAAATCACAGAAGAAACCACCACATCCCAAATTCTTCATTGTCCTTGAGACTGCACTGACTTTAGAAGGTGTTGCCTTTTGCCCTTAAGAAAGTACACCTATTAACCCTCATCTGTCTTTGCTGGAAACACTGGCATGGTATAACTGTAGTTCTGTGGAGCTCTAGCCACAGCATTACACATCAAACGAAACTAAACTGTCTAGTTCAGGCGTACTCTCGTCATGATTTCCATCCTTTCAGCGGTAGCCTATGTATCTGAAGTAATTCTCACAGTAAAATGCTCTTTTATGTAGGCAGTCTGTTTTTCCTTGCCTTCTGAGACATACACGTTCAGAAAATTTCAATAATCATGAAGTCTGCCTCTTGACGTGTAATGTGACCCGAGCAGCTGCCCTTTAAGTAAGAAGTTGTGATTGAAAAAGCATCTTCTTGAAACAAGTAATTGAAACTGTCTGGCCTCACTCTTGACATTTATGGTAGCATACTGGATTTTTATAGGAAACATGAAGGGATGACAGGAAACATTTTCACATGTGGTCATGGAACTCTGAAGGCATTTAGAGAAAAACAGTTCATAGAGTTCCTGCATATGGAAAACAAACATTTTTTCACATACTTCCGTATGCACAGAAAATATAATGTATTTTGCATCTTTTTCAAGCCACGTGGCATTATTCAGGAAACACAGTGCTACACTGTTAATAAATGTGGAAAAATCTAGTATATACTGTGATGATACCTTGATACCTGTAAGACCCATTCAGTCTCAAGATCTGTGTGTCCTAAGCTCAGAAACTTAATTTACCTTGAAAAGTGACAGAGACCTTGTACCATCCAGTAAGACCATGTCAGTTTGGATGGAGAGCTATTTCCCCTCACAAGAATTGTTAGAGAAGGAGTGCAAAAGAGGGGAAAGATGGAAGGAATGAGAGGAAGACCAGATGAAGGGTGCAATAGACAGGACTTAGTTGGTTATTTTTGGGTATTCATTATTAAAAGGATGAATGCAAATGTGTAGTTTGTGTACCTGGTGTATCACAACACTGGGTAGAAAGACATGAATCGGAGTGAGGTTTGTTTCGTGTCAGACAGTCATTTGAGCTTCTGCCTACTCTTCTACATAAGCCTGTGTGCTAGTGCAGTCAGAATAGAACCATTTATGCAAGTCACAGCTTCACAAGGGGGTGGTGCAGCTGGCATTAAGTACAGTCACTTCTGACCTTCCAACTTGACTGCCAGGTAGCCATTTCTAAGCTGATTTACTGTGATGAAGGTGTGAGGCTTTGACTCATGCTCTTAGCTCTTGCAGTTAGACCTACTCAGCTAAGTGGATTTATAAACACTGCAAATCAGAAGAGAGACATTTTGAGTGTGATAACAAAGTTTAAAATCTGACTATTCTGCCTGTCCTGCCTTTCCTGGTTTCTGTGTGTAAAATGCCTTCTTATAATGCTGAAGTCCACCAGAGCTTCCCAACTCTCAGTTCTGCTGAAGAGCCCTGTTATTAAACAGAGATCTCAGCAAATATGTTTGGCCAATATGCATCAGTAGTTAGCAAAACAAATAGGATGCTTGAATGCAGTAAATTATGGCTATGAAATAACAGAGAAAGTGTTACGGACTCAAATAACATGAATTCATGCATTGACACGCAGTAAATCTCTTCTTAAGGCTCAAAGACTTTGCTAATTAAAACACATTTGTAGAGGAGGAAAAAAATAGGAAAGACTCTTACTCCAGATTTTCATAATGCTAAATTCAAGGCTGGAGACTGTTCTTGAGGGGATGGCTGGACAGTGTGAAGTATGTGCAACACTTTATGAGTTGAAAAAGAAGAAGGAAAAACTGATGTAATTAATGCATTTTTTGAGATGGCTTCTTAGTGTTTTAGCTCACATATTTATTGACCTATTGGGGCTGGCAGAGGCTGAGAAGAGATTTGTGTATGAAACATCTCGAATAAAGGAACTCACTTTTTAGCTGGAACTTTGAGATGGTCAGGCAGTGCAACTGATAGCCAGTACCAACAGAAAGGTATTCAATTGTGGTGAGTTGACCGTGCCCATCAGCCAGACATCCTCAAACAGCTTCTCACTCACTTCCTTTCCTCAACAGTAGAGGGGATAAAATAGAATTAAAAAACTTGTTGGTCGAGATCAAGATGGGTAAATTACTTCTGGTTCCTGTCTCAGGCAAAACAGACTTTACTTGGAGAAAATTAATTAAACTTACTGCCAATGAAAATATATTTGGATAGTGAAAAGCCAAAACAAAAATTAAAGCAACACTTTCCCCCTCACTTGCCCATTTTTTTCCCAGGCTCATGTCACTCCCAAATCCTATACCTCCTCTCCCCCCAAGCAGTGCAGGGAGGATGGTCAATGTGGGTTTGTGGTCAGTCCATCAGAGTTCCTCTGTTGCTCCCCTTTCTGCTGCTCCTTCCTCCTCACAATTCTCCTGCTGCTCCAGCATGGGTCCTTTCTGCAGGCTACAGTCCTTCAGATAAACCAGTTTCTGTGTGGCCTGTCCACAGGCTACTGTTCCTTCAGAAAATGTCCACTAACTTTGGAATTGGGTGCTCCATGGTCTGCTGTGTGGACACCACCACCAACAACCCAGCTGATAATCCTCGCCTTGTAAGTAAGAGCATCTCTCAATACACCTAGATAATGGTCACCACTGTACCAGTATGGACACATTCACAAAAGCAGGTGTTTAACATTACTGTAGGTGTGTTTCACTTCTTGAATTCAGATCAGTTGTGTGTATGCCATGCTTTCCATTGAGAAGGAGAATTACACAGAAGCCCAGCAAGGTGATCTTCCAGTATTTCAGTGTTGGTTCATTTCAACTGAATGGACAGACAAGGGAAGAATGATGAAGGAGAATTCTTCAGGCTGTCATGGGTAGCCATGTGTGGTCCTTGTATACCTTTATCTGTCCAAGAAACAGCTGATGTTTTCTGTTTCTGCTCAAATGTAGTATTTGTTTGAGTTTTAGCAATCCTGCCAACATATTTTAAACTTTCTGAAGGTATTCTTAGACTCCATATAGTGTCATTTCTGTGTTTCTGTAATCAATTTGTGTGGAACATCAAAAAAAGCAAAGGAGAAAGGAGTGACTTGCTGGGACAACAAAGTAAGAGAACTAACTAAGCTTGCTACCTCTTGGATCATTTGTCCCCTGTTTCTGGCAGTCATCCAGCTTTCCAGGTGGGCCAGCTCTCTGATCTGACCACTGCATTGCCTTCTTGAACACACCCCTGCTTTATGCCATTTCTCATATTTGTTTTCCAGTAAAAAATAAAGAAACAAAATAAAAAATTTGGAGTATGGGTGAGATGAAATATATTTATTTTCAGTCTGCTCCACCAAAAAAGAAAAGTACATAAATGAAAACAAATGGTCCCAAGAAAATTTCACTGTTATTAGAAAACAATTTTTCATTAAAAAAGTCATTTCACTGAAAAAGAATTAAATTAAGCATTTGTAATTGTGTTTTTGTTGACTCAGAGCAGGCTGAAGCCAACTGGGAGCTTTCCCACTGATTTCACTGATTTTGCACGAGGTCTCTTATGAGCTAATGATGTGTTCTTTATTTGGTATTTGTTAAAAGAGAAGCCAGAACTCTCTGAAACTTTTCCTCAGAGTCGTTATCCTCCACTCTGTTCATTTCTGCATTCCTTTGATGAATGTATGCATGACATCAAAAGGGACAAGGGAGAGATGAGTATGAGTTTAAATTTTCTTTTTCCAGAACTTGCAAGGAAATTTCATTTGTTGTCTGTCATTTTAATGTATAGCAGGCTCATGTTACTTTCAAGATGGATGCAGAGATTTTCATTATTCTATAGGAAGCATATTCACTGCAAGATCCTTTGAACATTTTCCATTCCAGACTAACAGGGAATAGGAAAAAGCCATGGGATACCACTAGAAAATCTGATTTCATACCATTTTAAAAAGAAAACTTTCTTTTTAATCAGTTTCCTAGAATCCTGCTGAGGGCTCCTCTTGACATTTTGTCATCTTGTCAAAAATAAATTTTTTTTTGCCTTTGCTCTGATAGAGGTGGGGCCACTTTTACAGATGGCTTGGTAAAGTGCGTAGGAGCCAAGAAAAAGGGAAAATTATTCATAAATGACATTTCCCATTTCTGTGGGTTTTCTTGAACAAGACAGATACTCTAATGTTCAATTCTAATGACAGGGAAGCATTTATGGTCTTTCTCTCTTATCTCCTGGGAGTGTAAATGCTTTACTTTCAACTCTTGGAGATGTTTCAATTTTTAAAAAAAAATCCCAAATGCATCCTATTTTAATTTTGACATTTAACTCCAGTCAGTATTCAGAATCCTGATTGTGTAAAGTCAAAATGTAAGATAACTGGACAACTGTTTAGCTTTCTAACATATGCCTTTCATAACAACCTCCAGGAGCACACCATCTTAATGATATCAGTTCTTAAGGTTAAGTTGTACTGGATCTGAAGCCTTAGGTCACACTGCACGTTTATTTTCAAACCCAGGAGGTGTGTGACGGGAAGTGTTCCTTTCTGGGACTCTGTAAAGCAGATACATGGTCATGGCAAGACAGACAGATGAGTCACAGGTGGGGAACAACTGCGATACTGAAGAATTTGACTGTAGCCACTTTTCAGTATTACCTCAGTTTGAGGAGACTTCCTCTACCCACGCTGTACTGTTCATGTCTGACTCATCCTCACTCAGAGAGATAAACCTGCAAGTCGCCATACAGACTCTTTTGAGCTAGAGCAGAGAATACTTCACATCCCTAGGTACATGCGGCTCGCAGGACTTAGCACAGCTGTTTTCTCCTTCAAGACGTGTGGATTTAACAGCCAAATTAGACCAGAGGGAATTAGATGAAATAAGTTAAGGTTTAACCTTTTGTGACTTGGTTTTGTAGCTCATTGACCAGAGACATGTTGCACTTTGGGAAGTCTGGAAGGTCCCTGAAGGCTGAACATCTTCTCTGTAAGCTGTCATTGAGGTGTCATCTATTGCTCCAATGAATAGTCTGTCTTTCTTCTTATGGCAACCCACTAAGGGGTTGAAAATAGGGTCTAAGTCCCAATGATGATAAATAAGGGACAGGAACCAGGGAGCTGTATAAACTTGTTACTGAAAGATGAATTATATAGAGTAGCAGTCTCCCCCTCTCTCTTTCCTTTAAAGGAAATAGTGTATCAGGCTTTAAAATACCTTATGGCAGCTACACAGAGGGGACTTTCCTCACTTTCTTGTGCACAAGGGACTTGATCTCATGTGAAAACCTTACCTTACCTAGCAGACCTAGTAGAGTCTCACAAGTTTCCAGTAATTCACTTAAAATTTATAGTCAGCGTTGGTAAAGTCCACTGATGAATCATGGGAAAATGGATGCAGTCGGTTGTGTCTTAAAGAAAACCACAGGAGATTATCACTGTTAATTTTGAAGGGGAACTCAGGCAGAAGAAGAGAAACACCCACTTCTCCATTCTAAGACCGTGACTCATATAACTTTCTTTTCTGTCTCCTCTCTCTTTCTTTATTATTGTTATTATTTAAGGCAATACTTTCTTCCTCATATACAAAATACAATTCCACTCCACAATTTGCTATGTCCACCACACTATGATTTTCTTTTAATCTAACTGCTGAAAATTCAGAATGTTTTGGTCTACTGATTTTAAATATTTTTTCCTACATAAAGTAACTGTAGAGTTCAACTTCTGTAATATAATCCTCAGCTTGGTGAAAAAAATGCCTACATGGTGCTCTATCAAATATGTTGTCTTTTATTTGTTAAAAACATCTTAGAACTATTTTCAAGGAAAAGTATTGACTGAAAAAAATAGAAGAGCCAGAGAGTCATGAACTACATTATCTCTGTGAGAATGGGGATTTTCAGCACTCTTTTAAAGCCAGCTTCCTACATGTGTGATCACCACCTGCCAAGCACATGGAGATTGTATGAAGGGAGAGTTTATTTAGTGAATTAGCTACTCATGGAAGGAGGCACAACAACAATGTACTTACTCAAGAAATATGTGTACTAAAGGCAACCACAATGCAAATAAAGGTCCTGACTTCTCCAGTGCATTTAACATGCAATGCATGCTCTTCACTGCTAAGAGAGAGACAAACTCTGCTTCAATACTTGCTACAGCTCTGGTCCCTCCGCTGTCTCTGCCAACCAACTAACCTACTATCAAATTCCCTGGTTTCATTAAGGAAGCCCTGTGGGCTGGATTGTGCCCACAGCCACATTTCACATATATCACTGTATTACCAGCAAATACACTGTTGACATGAAATAAAATACTATCAATAAATTAGGGCTGTGCGTTTCCTGCTCAGTTCCTTTGAAACACCAATATTCATGTTATTGCAGAAATTGACTATTTTTATGCTGATCTGAAATAAAATTATTTTAAATGCAGGAATTAAGAAAGCTTTTTAAGATATATTGCTAAAGTACAGTGACTGCCTTTGTGCTGGATTATCAGAGCAGGCTCTATTGTACAGGTTTGAAGTAATATTATTTTTTAAAAAACTCTTTTTTTGTTGTAGAAATATTAATTCTGATTTTTCCTAAGATGATATGTCTGGACTAAGTGATAGCGTGCTTGCTGTAATATACCTATAGGTAACTATGCATTAAGCTCAGGAACATGGTTGCAGTAGACAGCAAAGCTAGACCACAGCTTTGCTACTATCAGTCCCTGAGACAGCTCAGGTGCCCTGTAACTTGTCCAGCTACATCTGTCCTGATTTCAGCTAGGACACAGTTAATTTTCTTCTTAGTAAGTGGTACAGTGCTATGTTTTTTGGATTTAGTATGAGAATAACATTGATAACACACTGATGTTTCAGTTGTTGCTAACCAGTGCTTACCCTCAGTCAAAGACTTTTAAGTTTCCCATGCCATGCCGCTTAGTGGGAGAGGGTGAGTGAGTGGCTGCGTGGAACTCAGTTGCTGGCTGGGGTT